TCTTTTTTTTTTTTCTTTTCAAAATGTTCTTAAAATGCAAAATAATAAATAGTTTTCGCATATGGTAAAATTCAATACGGAATGTTTTCAAAAATAAATAATCTTTTTAATATATGAGTATATGATATTTAACTATTACGATAATTTTAAAAAAAATGTGAGAAATTTTTATAATTTTTGTAAAATTTTATTTTATTTTTATTTTTTTTATATAATATATTTGATTTGAATTTCAATTATATTTAATAATTTTTGAAACAAAATTTAAATATTAAATTAGTCCAAAAAAATAAAAAATGATTAAATTGATCTAAATTTAAAAGATAAAAATAAAATAAATAATTTAAAATATAAAAAATAAGATAAAAGACTAAAAATATAATTTAATATTCTAATTTTTAAAATTATGGTATAATATTATAAAAATAAATAAATATTTATTATTAATCTTCACGTAAAAATAATTAATTAATTCTCATCTCACTATAAAATTAATTAAAACACTAATAGTTTGATCTCTAGTTAAAAAATTTCCAAAGCTCTTTACCTGAAGGCCTAAGGTGAGTGAAGTTGAAGGAGAATTTTTGCATCTATTGAACATAATCTGGTCTTGGAAATATTCGAATTGTTTTATGCACAACCCAATACCTATTGACTAGAGGGGGGGAAAGGGAAGGAAGCAGAATTTGGCGGTTTATGAAACTAACCTTCTTCTCTTCATGAAGCTTCCTTCAGCCCCACGCGCATTCTCGGCCCCTGATACGGCGTGGGGTTGCGGTTGAAGATGGAGGAGTGCAACGGTACGAGTCATCTTTAGCACGTGGTGTTGATGTTGAGGGTGAATCAGTTCGAAGAAGGGATCCAAACACCTCAACGATATATAATTGAAAACGATGTATTTATCACAATCTTGAGTTAGGATTGCATTACACAGCTTTAAACTTTATGGCCTAACAAGGATATTGATTAAGGATGACATAAGTGTAATTCAATCTCAAAACCAAATAATTGCAAAGACAACTTTATATTCCTTAAGGAAGGTTTTTAGACAGATACGCGTAATTACCTTAACTATACAAAATAAAAATTAAATTAATTAATTAAATTAAGCACATTAAAATTGTCTAATTATCTTAATTTTATTTCGAACACAAATATTTAGTCGTTGCAGAATTACAATTACGTTAATTACTGTAATTATATGTTTTTATAAATTAAAAATAAAACAATTACATTTCAATAGAATGAAATAAAACTTTATTTTATATTTTATATCTATAACTATTATAAAGGGAATATAGGAGATGTAAACCGTTTTTTGGTTTCCATTTTTTAATGGACTATTATATCTCCATATATAAAAAAAAAATTAAATTTTCTTCAAATAATTATACAAAAATTTCTAATATTTTATTTGTGAATAACTATCAGAGGCATGAAGTGCTTCTATCCCTCTAGTATTAATAATAATAATTGATTAATTTCACATACCTAAAGGAAAACTATACCCCTTATAAGAAAAAAGGCCGTCGAGACAAAGAAAAAAAAAACTAGATGATTGGGCCTATTGGGTATCTAATTGGACACGGGCACTAACCCAACAAGAGCTTCATTTTCATCGACGGTCAGAATGATACTTCAAAGTAAAACCCTAATCTAAACCGTCCATCGTCAGAAGCTTGACAACACTCAGCCACTACAAAACCCTAGCTATCTCATTTGACAACGTTAGAAAACCCTAATTCGCAGTCGCACTCGGTAAGTCTATCGCTCCCTTTTCCGTCATCGATCCGTCACTGTTCTTCTTCTCTGCCGAATCCGCCACACGTGTGGTATGATTGTTTAGATCTGAGAGCATTTTTAGTTTTTTTTTCTTCTGATTTATTTCATTGCACGAATAACAGAGATGGGTGAAGAAGTGAAAACAATTGTTCCGGAGTCGGTGCTGAAGAAGCGAAAGAGGGAAGAGGAATGGGCGTTGGCGAAGAAGCAAGAACTCGAAGCTGCGAAGAAGAAGAGAGCCGAGAGCCGCAAGCTCATCTACAACAGAGCTAAGCAGTACGCGAAGGAGTACGATGAGCAGGTGCACCTCGCTGATTTTCTTAACTTTGTAGCCCTAATTTTGCTGTAATTGCAATTTTTCTGTTTTCTTTTGGTTCTGAACCTGTTGTGATTTTTTTTATTAGGAGAAAGAATTGATTAGGTTGAAACGTGAGGCCAAGTTGAAAGGTGGATTTTATGTGGATCCAGAGGCTAAGCTCTTGTTTATTATTCGCATCCGTGGGTAAGTGTTTTATGTTTATTTGCATGTTCTTCATATGAGGGTTTAGAATATTGTGGTTGGTTTAACTGATGTGATTGTGGTTTTTCAGTATTAATGCCATGCACCCCAAGACAAGGAAGATCTTGCAGCTGTTGCGATTGAGACAGGTACTAGTTATACTCATAGAATGCTCAATGGATGTGTGATGTTTCGTTTCTATGCGCTGTTATGCTTAAGAGTTGCATTTAGCTTTGTGGTAGGATAGTTGATACAGGAAGTTTTATTTGTTTTTCTCCCTGAAAGATAGAAAAAGAATTGGCACATATCGTGAGGCATCAACAATTAATCATATAGGGACTGCAATCCTCATATTTTGCTGTTTTCATTATGTTTGCCAAGCTAAGGTTTATTGTTTGATCATTTGGCATTTGGGTGTTTTGTTTTGCACGAGATTCCTGTTAATAAGCTAAAGTTGTGAAATCTGAGGCATTAAAGTGATTGTCCATGGAGATCAGTAAAGCCACCATTTAAAATTTATTGGATCTTTATAAAGTCTTAATACTTGGTTGTGTTTGGTGATACGATTCATTTGGAAGTAAATGGTTCATTTTAGAGCATGTTAAGATCAACTATATAATGAATAGTTTTGTTTACATAATATCAATTTGGTGATGCTGTTTCTTACTATTTGTTAATCAGATATTCAATGGTGTATTTCTCAAAGTCAACAAAGCCACAGTGAATATGCTCCGCAGAGTTGAGCCTTATGTGACTTATGGGTATGTTTACTTCTTTGTCATACTTGTTTAAACATAATGATTCCTCATTTACCTCTTAAGTGACTCCTGCTTTTGTTTTAGATACCCTAATCTGAAGAGCGTGAGAGAACTTATTTATAAGAGAGGGTATGGAAAGCTAAACAAGCAAAGAACTGCTCTAACTGACAACTCCATCATTGAGGAGGTATGTTTGTATACTCTGTTTTTTAATTACATTTTGAATTCATTCACTACATGCTGCTGACTTGCTTGGATGACAGGCTCTTGGCAAATTTGGAATCATATCCACTGAAGATCTTATTCATGAGATCATCACTGTTGGTCCTCACTTTAAGGAGGCTAACAACTTCCTTTGGCCATTTAAGCTCAAGGCTCCTTTGGGTGGCTTAAAGAAGAAGAGAAACCATTATGTTGAAGGAGGTGATGCTGGAAACCGGGAGAATTACATCAATGAGCTAATCAGGAGAATGAATTGAGCTGAGTCTCTGTTCAAATCATTGATTAGGAGGATCAATCTTTCCTTGTTGGTTTTTTAGATCAAGATCAGACTATTTTATTATCCGAAATTTTGAAAATATCACATTCCTGACTTTGTTAAATCATTTTGTTAAGGTTGAATTTCTTTTTCGTTTTATATAAGTATTGAGTGTGATAATTTAATTTTAAGTTATCCATATTATTATGCTTGGTTTTATTATGCTTAGCTTTCAGTTTGAAATACTTTGCCTGATTTGGGATATGTTCTCGAGTCCCTTTTTAGTAATTTTATTTTATTGTTTGGCGCTTTACTAGTCTCTTATGGAAGTTAAACGTTGAGTGAAAGATTTCTGTTTCTTTTAGTATTAGCGACGGTGTAGTTTCGTTAAACTGCCTTTTTCATTGGCTAATTTAAGATCATCCGGATCTTGTGTCTTTTAATATTAGCGATCGGAATTGTTTGTTCCTTGGTATAATGTGAATTGTATTGAATAATCAATTATGAATAGTAACCCTCTCTTAAGCGATGTCTTTTGTGTTAAATTTTAAAGAGTTTACGTTACATTTGATTTAAAGCGAGTTAATTTTACTGAAACATGTATTTCAGTAAAACAGATATTTTTTCTTCAGATATTGAACTTAACACAATGTACATATATCAAATATCAATTGACGAGTGTTTTGGTTTTTCTTTTAGAACTGAACTAAAGCAATTTTCCTTGTATTTCTTTTTTTACTATACCTGCCTCTACAAGTTGTAGCCTCTGGCTATTAGGCTTGGGCAAAAAATTTTGGCTGATCCGAAATCGATCAGATTATCGCTTGAGATTTGAAGTAGATTGTTTCTCATAGATTTTGGATGTAAATTTTAGGTTCAAATGGGTTTGAATGGTTGGACTTGGTATTTGAATTTTCTCATCTGATATATACGAATTCGGTTGTTTATTTTATTCGTTTTCATTTTCATATTCATCATCATATTTATATTGTTCTACTTTTTCTATTTTTTTTTTATTTTACTCTACAAACATCCTCTTCTCTTTAACCTTTTCCTGTCATGGTCATCTTCGTTGAGGGTGGTGATGCGAAGATATGAAACTCACCAATTTCTCCCAACTAAGTAGTAATAGACTGGCAAAGGGCAAAGGTGGAGGGCAGCACGAGACACGAGAGAAAGGTTGAGGAATTCGCAACTCGCATGGATTGAATTCACCAAAAATTGAGGTCTTCATCGGTCGAAAATGACTCTTAATTTTTCTTAATCGATTACGAGAGATTTTAAAGATTTTGGTCCGAAATTAGCCGTGATCGATGCTCAAGCCTATTGTCCATTACTTGTAAGATGTGAAAAGTGTGCAGTGAGACCATGTTACTTTTCTAATCTTAAATATTTGATAATCATTTAAAAAATAAAGATTTTTAGAAATATAATTTGATGGGAATTATTTTATTCTATTTTCTTACAAAATTCTCATGGGGTTGATAGTTCAACTTTTTCATAACATTCGTTTAATGCATATACAAGTTTATAATGTTTTTTTAAAAATAAAAAACTCTTTCTCTCCTAATTTTTTTTCTCTCCTCCCTTTTATTTCTTTTTCTACCTCTCTCTCCCCTATTTCTCTTCCTCCCCCCCCCCTTTCTTACTCTTTTTCTCTCTTCCCATATCTTTATTTCTCTTTCTTGTATTACATTATTTTTTAATCTTGTCAATTTTAATAATATTATTAAAGTCTTTTATTTCTACAATTTAATGATATTTTTAACACTTTTTTAATTATTTTTTTTTATTTGAATCAAATTAAATAATATATTCTATCTTTTTTAATTATCATGTAGTATTGTTTTATGTTTATTTCTTTTGTTAAATTGTGTATATAATTTTTAACTTTCTAAAATAGTTTAATGTCATTTATACCAAGATTAGAATAAATAAATATATCTAATAAATTTATTTTAATAAAAGATATTTTTTTACAAAATATTTATACCTAAAAATATACTATTGTAATCAAATATGAACATTTTTAATTCTCAAGAATTATATATAAATATTTTTAAGAATTTTTATGAATAACTAAACATTATTTTGACAATTCTCAGAAAACATAATTTTTAGAATGAAAAAACTTATCTCCTATCAAATGTGAGTGTGAGCGTAATTAAGCTCCTATAAAATGCCAGGCTAAGTCAAGTGTCAACAACTCCAACAGAGCGTCACACGACCTTGAAGTATTAATAGCATGATTGATTAATAAAGACACCTTGCCATGGACTCCATCTAAAGCAAAAATTATCACACTTGATATATTCTTTGTTATAAGCTAAAGGTTATTAAGTCTCACCAATTGAGGCTCGTTATAAGTGACATGAAGTTCTATATTTCAACCAATAATAACGATCTATAAATAGATTTTCTCAAATGACAGGAGCTGCAGCAAATAAAAAATTAACTTAGCATCGTAGCTTTCTACTCTTTTACGCTCGAGGTTGCTCTGATGTCGTTCGTTCCATAAACCCACACAAACATGTTTCGCTTTAGTGGGAGACTCGTGCGCATCAATCAAGAGCTGTCGACTCAATTTGAGGCATGTAACTCAGCTCCGTATTTCCTTCAGAAACCGGACCCCAACTGGATAAAGCCAAATCAAATTTTGATGAATGCTTTGATAATATAAATAAATGGGAATTGGGAAGATGAAGTCGAATTTATTCAGGACTTTCACTTGACAAGGTCGCCTCTGTTGGATTGTGGGCCTCAATATCAACATGCCGAATACCAGGAACGAGATTCTGGATCTCCTTCTCTAGCCTATCTACCTCACTTCCTAAAGCTGTAACTACTTCCTCACCTGCCACATCTTACAACTGTAAGCATGCAATTAATTCTCAATCAACAAGACTATAAGGATCGAGCTTAGTACTGCATACCATAATTTGACATAATCCTCACCAGGGCAGCATCATCCTTCTTTGCAGCTTCACGAAACTGTAAATAACAAAAGAGAAGAGGTGGTATCAAAACAACTTAGCTGTTATGAAAGTTACATATGTAAAGATTCCAAACCACACGATGACAGGGAAGCAGGGCAGTATAATTATTGTAGTACTGTTGAATGAATCCCGAAAAGTGGAGTTAACCTACACTACTCATGCCCAAAGAGCCGGAAAATATTATTCTTTTAAATGTGAACTAATGCCCTAGGATAGATTTCGTGTAGGATAATTGCTAATGCACATACTTTAAACAGGTGCTATGTATTCCTGTTTTACAGGCATGTAATCAAAAGCAGCAGCAAGTGAATAATGCTAAAACCAACAGTGGAACATAACATAATTTTAATTGAACATTATGAAAGTGTATCTACCTGTTCGGCCCACTCTTCACGTCCAGTCCTTTTAAGATAATTTTGCACTACCATCACTCCATTAAAATCTGTTCCATTAAAAAACACCATATTAACATCATCATGCTTAAATGTTACCATTATCTGAACTTGACATGTTTATGGGCGTAGACAATGAAATTTGAATTTATTATATAGAGAACTTCAGCTTCAAGTTTGCTTCTGTGCTATTTATTTAAAAAGTAATAAAACATTTTTTTAATTAAAAAACTATGATAGACATGTTTTGGGGGTAAAGAAAAAATTCTCGAAAACAGAGTTTTAATGCTTTTATTACAAATTAGGAAGAGTATCTTCTTGAGAAAAGCTATCCTATAAAAGCTTTTTTTCCCATCAAAATTTAATGAACCATTTATTATACTGTTCTGAGTACTAATTCTATTAGATAGTAACAATAGAAACTTTTAAGAGTACAAAAGTAGCATGTTTCATATAGCCAAAAAATGGTGATGAAAAATATAGCAAACCATAATGATCGTAGGATTTAATATATAACAGGATCCGGAAGATTATTGAAATAAAGACAGACAATTCATGGCAATAACTGTCAAGACTAAGCATGATAATTTTTTTCTTCTAAAAAATGACCTAATTATTATGATTTTTTTAACATATATTTGAATTAAAAAAGGGCTTTTTCTTTTTTTAAAAAGAGAACAACATATTCTAAATTCTAAAGAAAGGCAAATTTCAGAATTGTACCCACAAATAAGCTACATAGAAAATAATAACAATAATGAGAAAGGTAACCTATTTCAGCTTTAAATCTGAAGAATCCAGGCCCAATAACTTCACTTTTGCAATCATAGAGGGAATCTACAACCTAAAGATAAAAGTCACCTTAGTCAAATGAATGATAATAAGGTAATGATGTGATTTCAATAGAAATCAGCACAAGCTTGTACCGGGTCATTTTTCAAAAATTGAAGTACTTTCTCCATATCATGGTCATCCATAGCTCTACCAATCAAAGCATGTCGGTTTCTCTGGATAAGAAATATGGCTACCTGCATGGTTAATTCAGCTTGGAATTAAAATTATATAGATTCTGATTCTATGCTAACTTCAAATTCTTGAAGAATTTCTGCTTCCTTCTGAACACTCTTTACCATTCCAAGTAAGTTGCCAACTACAATTGAACCTATGGGATCATAAATGGGATTTCCAGTAACATTGACTGCAACCAATGATGCCCCAGCAATCATAAGGCCAGTGACGGCAGCACCATCCTGCATATTTTGCTATCATATATGAGAACAAACAACCACGACTTCTTAATTCATCACTAAATAAAGGTGTTTAAAAACTAAATAAACAAATAAATTCATGCTGCATACTCCATTAAAGAGACAAATAAGCAATTCCTCTCAGCACAACAAGTTTTAAGTCACTCATCCCTGTTCCTTTTTCTGATGCAAAATGACAACAAAATTTACATTTTCTTTACCATTGCCCATGGGGAGCATATAACTATAAGTTGAAGTTCCATCTAGTTAATCAACTACAAGAACATGCCTAGTTATAAATGAGTAATGCTACATGCACAACAAAAATTGTACAACAACTTTTACAACACTACTTCTGTATCTATCTCTCTCTATCACTTCATTTATTATGGAAAAAGATATTTATTAATAATGAAAAGAGATATACATAAAAGTGATGTACAATTTTTGTTGTACATAGCATTACTAGACTGTTTCTAAGGAAAAATACAGCCAAAGATGTAAGAATGCTAGATAAGTAATTAAGAGTTTGTTTGGATACAAGTTAGAAGTATTTTTTAGAGTTTCTCTGCCGAAAATATAGATTAAAGAGTATTTTCTAGCAGATATACTCTCAAAAACATTTCTAAACTTATATCTAAACAGACTCTAAGTCTATCCAAAACTCTTATTTCTAAATGATCCTCTTCTCCTACCCACCACTCCCACGATGCATCAGCAATTATTGTTCATGCCAAATAAGCTGTAACATGTTTTGGGAACTAGAGATGAGAAAGTGCAACAAGTTACAACCTCTGTCATTACAGCAACAGATGTAGGATCATGGCCACGCCAAATATAGTCTCTTAATTTCATTCCCTCTGTGGCTGCACCTTTCTTGACAGCTTGTACGGCAACAATAAGAGAGGCCCCTAACAAACAATACCCATTGAAAAAAGGAAAAAACTGAAATAGATAAAAGGAAATAGACTGCACCAGATTAAAATGCAGTACCTTCAATGACAAATGAACCACATATCACCAAAGCTGCATAATGCATATTCTCAGGGGGCTGAAAGGAAAGCCTCAAAAGTCAATGACTTGGATAAGACAAAATCATAGATGAATAATTAGAATAAGAAAACTGATAATAACATATGAAAGAAGTCAAATGTTTTGATTCAAGGATTCAATTTAGTTAAATACCTGAGCAGTCCACAAATTTTGAACCCCATTAACAACGGTAGCACCAGAACCAAGACAAAATATCCCAACAGCAGATATCAAGGACCAAACAAATCTTTCCTTGGAATAGCCATAACTGTAGGAATTGAAGACACATTGCCATTTTAACACACCCGTTAAATTCCAAATTCATACAAAGACAAAAGCCATATCTCATTTCACAGAAAAGATGTCATAACAAATTACTATCATATAATGAGTCTAGTTAAATTTAGCATAATTAGTGATTGGAACACTATTGACAGAAATTATATTCTAAAGCCAACCATAACTTTCATATTTCATCCATTACATGCAAAATAGTTCTTGAATCATACAGCATGTGAATGGCAACACGTTCAATATCTGAAATCAGCTCCATGCTGAGTACTTAACAAATAATTGGGACCAGAGGCAACAAATGTTGTCAGATAATTGAGAGGAAATGCAAGTGATCTGAAGTTGATGAGGCCAAAGCTCAAAGTACAAGACAGGACTAACATCAAAATATCTCGTTGTATTGATCTAAAAGATACTGAATGATTACAAAGATATTACTATTTATACTAATTAAGCAAATCTCAACCATTGATCACTTCCTAATCAATGCACCTTTGAAAATAATTAACAAATTGTAACTCAATGAGATGCTCAATGAACGTAATTAACACAGTTTAACTCACGGATGAATGGCATCTGGTGCACGCCTTGAGCTCGTTAGACCATAAGCAAGTAGCGCCTACAAAATAAGTTACGCAGCACACATTAACGAACAAATCACACTCTACAAAATCAGTGAACTGTCTAATTGTTACCTGGTTGGCAAAATCAGCAACTGAATGCACGACTTCAGCAAACATAACATGACTAGAGGAAGCTAACCATACTCCAAACTTGAGCGAAAAAACAAGAAAATTACACCACAATGCAGTCGTAACAGCTCGCTGACTACAATAACGGACAGAGTAAAGAATTAACATCACACATTCAATTCAATTCAAGTAAATAAATAAAAGAGACCTGTGGCGATCGTTGAATTCGATATTCTTCGCTGGCTTAGCTCTCGTAAAGAAACCTAGAAAACACAAGAGAAAGAGGTGAATGAATATAGAGAATACAAATGCAAGCATAAGAGAAGCAAAAAGAGGCGAATACGCGTTACGCACTGCGATGATAGGGGAAGCGATGAGCATTGAAGCCGAGAAGAAGGATCTGCGTTGAGCGAGGTGAATAGGAGGCAACCGTATGCGGCGGATGGTGCTCCGGCTTCGCGAATACAACGACGGAGAGAGAACGATACGCGTGCGTGTGACAGCGGCGAAAGCGAGAGCGAAGAAGATGATAGGATGTTCGCATTAATTCAAAGTGGTTGATGGAACCCAGCGTCAGTGGCAGCGACGAGTGTCGAAGTGAAATTAGGGTTTTAAGCTGTGGAATTCATTGTTGTTGAGTGTGAAGGTGAGAGGGAGGGAACCAAAATCGTTCATGGAATATTCCGCCAATCGAATCCTCTTCTGTTTCTCCAACAATCAGCACTCACACTGAAACTGTGAAACAGTGGAAAGAAACACAACTTCTTTTTTCTTTTTTTTTCCTTTTTGGGGGAAACATTTGCATATAACTAAACAAATTGCTTCTTATATTACTGTGCCTCCTTTTCTTTTTTTTTTTATTTTATTTTTTATTTTATTAACGAATTTAGGATGTTAGCAATTTACTTGAATGCTTTTTTTTGGTAGGAGATAGTTAACTTTATGATTGGTATAATTGATTTTATGAGATTTGGAAAATTATTTTAGTCCTTTTTAACTTATTTAAATGCTTCATAAACTTGTTTAATAAAAAAAAATTATTCGTTAATAGTACAAAATATCTGCATAGTAATTTTAATCGGGAAACATAACTTCCTCATCCCTTGCTCCAGTTGCCAATGCTAGTTTGTTTTGTTAGCTCATAGGTTTTTTTTTAAAGAATTTTTTTGTAAACTTCTTTTATTATTATTATTATTATTATTTTACCTTTACTGACTTAATATAATTCTACTTTTGCCTTGTTATGTTTGGAAACTTTTATTATTCTGTGTCACTCTTTCTTTCTTTCGGTCTCATCAAATATTACTTCTTCATAACATGAAATTATTAAAATTGGATTATAAATTCATTTATGTAATCACAATTTTATTTAATAAATATATTTTACCAAATGAATTTATTATTCTAATTTTTAAGTTTATAATTATTTTAAATAAATTAAAACATGAAAGTTAGTCAATGTTTAAAAGTTACATGATAACCAAATTTCAGAAATTAAGTAATAAAGGGGTCATTTAGTTTGGGAGTTTTTTTAATTAAATTTGTCATCTTATTTTTCACTTTATTTTTTATTGTTAAAAATTTGTATACAAAAGAACGATGTCCAAAAAATAAAGTAAAAAAATGTCTTTTTTTAGTTTCTTATACAAATTTTGAAAATAATAAATCGCTTAAAAATAATGTGCCTTTTTTTTTAAAATCAAAAAGTAAATATATATGCCCTTTTACTCCTATCAACTAATTTAATAACTAGATTTACCAAATATTTTTAATTCAATAAGTCAACTTATCAATTTTTAGTTTTTAATTTTCAACTTTCAATCAATCTTTTAGTTTTTGTTTATTTTATTTGATAATATTATTAAACATGGCCAAGGTACATAATGATTAGATATCTTAACTCATTTATTGTAAAAATGACCTTATTGAGATATATCTATTGTGTATTTATCAAATTCTGTTAAGATATATCTATTGTGTATATATATTAAAGGGTTTTTCTCAAGAAATTAAGTTTCATATTTAATATCTATTTAGTGAAAAATCATGTGTTCGATTTTTATGATGTGCGAAAACCCTTTAAATTAGCGACAATTACAATATTATAAGCAAGATTTGTCTCTGACCCATCTAATGAGCTAATATATCCATAGCAAGACCAAAAAAAAAAGTACCTCAAATTCTTAGATTAGACTTTTCTAAAATAAGAAAATTTGTAAAGTGAGAAAGTAATGATACATCCAACTCTGATTTGAATTAAAACACCTAAAAAACTTATCTCACTTTACATCAAGGATATTTGTGTCATTAAATTTTCACTTTATACATCTACTTTAGAAAAATTAAACCCCAAAATCATTTTATACTAGAAATCCCAAACTTGTTAATGAATATTTTAATAGAATAATAAAGAGAAAGACAAAAAAAAAAATTGTTTGCATTAAAATAAGGCACGTATTAATATTTAAGGAGAGAGTAGAATATAATTCTTAAAATAATTAACATTTAAGCTTGATTCATGATTCAAAAGTGTAATTTACTTTTAATTCTTTTATAGATAAATGTGTTATCTGCCCCCGTTCTAATTCATCTAAAGGTTTCCTTAATTCTTCAGGAAATTTGACCATCTATCTATGTTTTCATTGGACAGACACAGCTCCAAAAGAAAATAAATGATTTTCTATGTCTGTGATGGACTCTTGTAATAGATTTTTGTTCCTTTATTTTATTTTCTTGGCAACAGTGATCCACATGTAATAGTTGTATAGTTAATTATTCCAAATATTAGTATTAGTGGGAGAAACATGATTTCAAAGTGATATTCGCCGGTTTGTTTAATTTTATTTTTCTAAAAAAAGTGCTTCTAACATCCCCGTTAATCATTTAAATCATCTTCCAATGTTTTTTCCTCGATTGGATACAACTAAGGTGCATATCCATAGACGAGTCATGAGTTCCATCAAAAACTGATCCAACAAAAGACAACAAAAATTGAAGGCTTTCTTTCTTATTTATTTAGAAAAAATAATAAATAAAGTTGGAGAATGGCTGAATACAGAGATCCACTTATAGTACCATACCAAATTTCTTTAAAGAAACAAAATAAGTGTATAACACTACCTCTCGGGTTTCGCTCCATAAAATTACGTAATAAAGTAAAAGCACTATAAAGAAAAATGTTAATAGGCAAGGATTATCTTCTATTCAATGCGGAGATATATGCCTCAGTTATATAATGCTCTGAAAATTTGGTTCCGGAAAAAATAAAAATAAAGGACAACAATCTCTTAGCCGTGCAAAAGGGTCATTCATCAACAAAAGGTCAGGTCACGTTGAATAAACCCATTCTAAGAACTTCAATGAAGAACTATTTCCTATATTAGACACCATCTGAGACAGAATGAACGAACCCCTTACCCCTCCCAATGAGGATATGTTGACATCTTACAAGCTCCATTATGGAACAAACTGCTTTTTCTTTAATTTTGGTAAAAGGGGATCAATCAGCAATGGAAGGAAGAGAAGAATGGAAACTAACCTGACTTTCCTTCCTTCCTGCCACCTAATCTAGGAAAAGGTTTTTGCTTCTCATTATTCTCAACAAGTCTCTCTTCTTGTCTGGTCACAATCCTCAGAGGGTGGGCTTCCGTGTTGAATACCCACTCATCTAATGGAATGACTGAAGAAGGTGAAAAGAGAAGATAAAAATACTTGAGGGTCTCCGCAAGAAAGAAGCTTTGCATCATGTCGTCTTTGGCTCCACTATTAACCTGAGAAATTTGAACAAGTGATAAAAACAAAATACATGAGTAGGAAGCAGAATAGTTGCTAAGGATATTAAATGGTTGTTCAGCATTAGACAAACATCAAAGGAAGCAAGGAAAAAAATTGGCAGAAATCATTGGAGTAAGAAGCTACGGCCGTGCCAACAATTCCATTGATCAAACAATACACAGCTAAATGTTCATCAAACAAAAATAGGCACGACCAAGTAGATTGTCTATGAATAGTAAAAGTCAACAGTCCCCAGCTGACAAGTATGATATTCGAAAACCTCCAAATTCTCAGACTAGACGATAACTGCAAAACCTAAAAACATAATTTTCAACACCTAATGCCTATGAAAATAAGTAAATCATTCAATTGAGAAAAGGCACATATAAAATGCCTTTATAACCTATCAAAGTGCTTAATTCAATAAAGGCTTTCTCTAAAGAACCAGAACAAATAATTCTAACTTTTGATAGGATGTATTAGATACAGAAACAATAATAATGCAAAAAAAAAAAAAAAAAAACACATTATGAAATGTGAAATTGAGGTCTGCTTACATCCCTCAGTCCAACATAGCCTGATTCTATGCGGGAGTTCTTCTCAAAAGCTTGAAATATATTCCAACCCCATTCTTGGTATGTTTTGTTGCCAGTTAGACGCCAAAGGTAAAAGAGGGACTCAACTGTCTCTGGCCTCAGTATGTTCCATGATGTGCCCACACTCATGTCCTTAAAATTCAAAAATAAATTTCGGATCACATAATTTTCATATTGCATGCAAGTGATGTAACAAATAAACCAATAACCAACCTGCCCAGAATGAAAGAAATAGTTCTCTCCAGCCAATTTTGTTGGAGTTGATTGGTAGAAGTTATAACATGTCCATGCAAGCTGCAAAGAAAGGTACATATCTTCAGTGAACACCCCACAATATCAATCATTGTAAAATAAAATATCCACATGCCCTGGAGAAGAAATATGAAGTGCAATACCCGGTAGGTTGTCTCACATATGACATATCAAAACAACACACATAGTCACTAATTCCACTCACATTGGATAATTATTTGAATGACAACGAAATTCCTAATTATAGCTAAACACATTCTCTGTTTTAAACTAATGATAAATTTCTTGCAAAAAGAAAGGGGAAACAGTTTTCCTGAAAGGAAACATAGATAGCAACATCCACCCCTCTCAACACTTGAAATGCATGCTATTTTACCCAACAGCATAATATATAAATGAAATTGACATCATCATGATTTGAATCCAAGCAGCTTAACAATTCCTAATCAGAATTTTTTTATTGAATTTATATTGATGTGAAAACCATATGTAAATTGACAGATCAAGACCAAAACTCGGTCAGTCAACAGAACAAGCACTTAAGGGTTCATTAAATTGGCAATTAAAATATACCTCTTCTGCAAGTGACAGGAACTTCTGCGAATCATCAGAACCGTAACCAAATGATCCCAAAGCAATCATCCCTGGAGCAAAGCATGCTAGTTCATCCATCTGCAGGTACTCAGTTGAATGAAAAAATTATACCAACACCCGGAACATCATATGTTAAATACTAAATATGACAATACCAGTATTGACTATTGTAATGCAATATTATACTTTATCTGAGAGAGATCCTCCATTCTTCTCACATATATAAGCAAAAGAAGATGGTGTTGACCTCTTAATCAAGCTTAACAGACCTTTCATTGATTTCTCCCACATATCTCTGTTTTTAAGATTCCAGAAAGAAATGGATTAAAAAAAAAGTTAAAGAACACTTGCACTTATACAATATTTATGTGAAATGAAAAAATGAAATGCCTTTAGCCATAAAATTTTAATGACCAACATACAAATTCTCTCATTAATCCAAGGAAGTAAATTAGATTTTAGCTACTACCATCTACCACAATGACATGGATTGCATTATGAACTCCTCATTTAACAAATCAGACCAAAGGGAAGAAAATGTGATCAATTAGGTGCATGATTCTCACCTATAATGTTTTACAGCTGAAGTCTTGTTCCCTTGTATCCAAACTTTGAGCAAGTACTCATAAAAACTGCAACAGCATTGTGTTGATCATCACCAGAACAAATTAACAAATACATGGTAAAATGATTAGAAAATAACGATATCCAGATCATATTAACAAACAAATGCCGAGGTTTGCTATGATTTTATCATGTAAAAGATAGTTGCTAAATCGGGTTAATACCTGTCACCCATGGCACCAAATGTGATGGGAGAGTAGCCTGAAGTTCCACTATGAGGATTAATGTAGATGGGAAGTAATCCATCATCAGGAAATGTTTTATTAAGCTGGGCTATTACATTTTCCACCTGAAATAGCATGGTGCAAACTAATCAGTGCATTGCTGGAAAAGTTGCCTGCACATGCAATATCCAAAATAAAGGCACAAGCAATTAATTGATGCCCTTAACAGTTAACAATACATGCTTAAAATAAAGAACAAATAAGCCTAGTAGACTAGTAGTAGTCGTACAAGCAGTCTGTCATCAATTAAGCATATTTTAACATTTAAAGGGCACCAGCAACACAATGTCTGCCTGTAATTATATGTATTTATATCTGATTTTGATCAACATAAATGTAACCCACCCCCCAAATCCCTAAAAAATAGAGCATATAGAATCAAAGTTAAAAACCTTCTGTTGATACTTTGGGTCTCCAGTCCTTTGAGATAGAACAATGAATTCCAGTTGTTCAGTGCCAGAATCTGCCAAGATACTCTCACCCTTAACAAAATAAAGACAAAAAGGAATTAGAGACTATTTAATGATTGTGACCCTTACAGTCAGAGTTGGGAATCCAAAACTAATGAACAAATAAAAATCAATCGATAAAAAACCCAGCAGAACTAACAAAGAAAGCCTTTAAATTTTATTAGGCATGTGAATGATATTTGCAACATCAACTAGCCAACTCCATGCCTTTAATACAAAATCCTAAGATGAAACACCACGTTTATACAATAAAATAAGAAAATAGTAATTTCATGAGTCAATATTCAGCCAAAAAGGTCCTAAAATTGTGTCTTTTCTATATATATAAACTCTCATGTTTCTTAGAAAAAGACCTACCTAAAGCTAATTTTGAGAGGAGAGGCTGCTCAAACACAAAGGGATTATAAAAGCACATACAAGAATTTTCATTGATCTAGCAGTAAATTATGCTTATGGAACATAAAAAATAACTTATGACTACAATATTGAAGCTTAGAAAGTAAGACCTAGGATTATATAAACCCTTTAAAGACATATCTCCGACTAAGAGTAATAAAAATGTAAAAACAATGCCTGTTAGTTAAGATCAAGAACTAAACCCAACAAAGTAATATCCAAAATCTGCTAGTGTTCAGTAAGACTGAAATTCATAAAGCCATAAACAGAATGCTATAATTTACCCCAGTCCAACCAGGGTTGTGTGCCCTTCCATGTGACAAATTGATGATGTTGTAAGGAATTCCTGTAGGTGTATTCCATGCAGGAAGTAATCTGTCAGCTATTTCTCTAGCCTTGTTGAGGAAAACTTTGTCCCCTGAAAGATCATATGCACTAAGAAGACCACCTACTACTCTGGATTTTGGTGTTGAAAAGAGAAAAAGATTTATAAAAACAATATTAGTTGTCTAGCACATGAACTCAAAAATATAATTTTGCAAATGGGGAAGGGACTTCAACTACAAAGTAAACCTTATAAAGTAACCTTATGGTCGTCTCAAAAACGCTTGCGTCATAATCCTTGTTAAAATCCAAAGAGTTTGCGACCCATCTGCCAGAGCAAATTCTTATTATGAAGTGTGCCCCCAGTAGAGCATTAAAATTGAAGGAGAAAAGTAGAAAACAATATAAAGTGAATTGCCAAATAGAATTTTATAAACAACCTTGCAACTATTGATTCCAAACATTATATAGAGATATGATTGAAGAAAAAAAAGAAAAAGATCACATGTTGTGTTCATATTATTGAGTCAAAAGTTACACTTACTCTCGTGCTCTCTGAAACTGTTCATTGAGACCCATAATATATAGTGTATCAAGAGAATCTATTAAAGTTGCTCCAAGACCTCCAAAGCTATTGATACCTTTCTTTGACTGTGGCTGGCAACACCAAAAAAATAACAATTAATTTCAAAAATATGTAAATTTAAAGAACAAGTAAAATGATTATTTTTAGGAAAAACTAATATTTATCATGTATTATTTAAGAACACAACAACACACATTTAGTACAAGAACACATTTGTATCAACTTTATAACCACATCACTATTTTGGATGGATATGTAATGAAAGCAAAAGTGCATCATCCACTCATTAACTAAGGGCAATGGCTTCAAGGCATAAATGCTAAATCCTTATTTTTTTCACATCAGTCCCAGCACTGTTGCTTGTTATAGTGTTGGAGCAAAAATATAAATGAACCATATCCTGATCTGGCAAGATCTCCACAGGATTTACATATAGGGAAAGAAGCTGGAACTTGTAGCTTTACAACAGAAAATTTAGACATACAGAATGTGCCCACAACAGAATACCTATAACTATCACTAAATAAAAAGTAAAAGGTTGATCGTTCATAATAGAGATTCACCATACCTGAAGTTCATCTTGGCCCCATGCATACTTCTCATAAGATCCCCAAGCATGAAGCATTGCTTCTTTTACTTTTTCCCTCCTGTCGATATCAATGGGATTATCTATGACATCTTGTTTGGACCTGAAGTCAATCTTCCCGGCATTACCACCTTGCTTGTTTTTTAACTCATCCAACTGAAACAAGTCTAATCACTTAGCCCTCAAGAAGCTTAATGACGATAAAACAATATTCCATTCATCAAATAAGAACCCTTGGCTGTAAAACAGATACAAGGAAACGATTTACTAGCTAACAGCCAGAGGTGAGTGTTTAGCTTTATGCAAGATTGAATGTAGAATAAGAATTCACACTGAAGGATTTTGTCAGGATCTAATTACAAGGAAAGGGACTAGAGTACCACATTGGATGTATGGGATTCTAGTGTAGGGTTCATACAGCCTTGGGCTCTCCAACTCCAACTACAACAGCAAGCGCTTTTGTGGTAAAGTTTTCCCAAAGTTGTTATCAGATTTCAATTTGTTTGAAGCAGGATTCATGTTGGAAATGCAAGATACAAACAGCCTATCTCATTGCTTGTGTTTATTGTTTGCAAAATAAAATCAAACATTTCTTGGGAACAAAAGACTGGACCAAGTGTGGCAGAAATACAAAAAATTAAGCATTTGATAGTTTCTTACCAAATTCTGTAAATCAGATACTTCTTTCTGCAGCTCAGAAATTTCAACCTGTATTTAGCAGATAAGTTATACACCGAAAATCCAAAAAACATATTCACCCTCCCTTTTTACATAAAGTCATACTGAAAAATGAAAATAAAGTTGTAATTTAAAAGTCAGCAACACATCCGGATTATGCCAAATAATCACCATCTAGCATTACAGTATGCTATAAAAAAACTAACAGTAATTCCAATTCTGTAGCTTGGCAGGAATTAAATATGACAGCAGCGCTAGTAACCTACCCCCTAACATATTATTTCTAACACACGTGGATTTTTTTTTTAAACTACAAAATCAAAAGAAACTCACTAAATAAGAAATGAGATCACTAAAAATTATAATTTCCAATAGGTTTCGGCCAATAGTCTAGAGTGTTGCTAGCATTCCACGTTATGTAAAATGGGACAAATCTTATTTTCTCATCTGGGTTCTGATTTATATCACACCCTTACCCATTCAATCTTAGAAATACAACCTCTACCCCTAAAAAAAAAACTAGTTCACCACATTTCTCGATAATATACATCCAATTCAACACAATCAACCACTAGGTACGCCAAGTGGTTGAAGTTGGAGTAGTATACACAAGTCCTAGATTCGAACTTTCGTGCAGTCATCGGAATTATGATGGATTAAAAAAAAAAAACTCAACTCAGTCATCACAAGCAATGAACACAATCACGATCTCCAGACACAACTACACAAAATCTCCACCCAAGCGCTAGCCAACAAAATCATCCATATCATAAGAAATTAAAGACACAAACACCCACAATCAGATCCAAATCGAGAAGTACCTGGTGCTCTCTGACCAGAGTTTGACGGTCCCAAACAACGAAAGAGACGCAAACGAAAACGATGAAGAGCAGAGCAAGACGCTTGGGACGCTTGAGGTAATAGGAAGGGTGGCAGTACCTCCACTGGCTGCTCGTCACTGATCTGCTCCCTCTCGCCATTCCTAACACAAAGATCTAAGGCTCACACTGCGCAGACCAACGACCAACGTTGTCCTCTTCTGCCGCAGACCAAACCAATTGTTGAGAAACAAAACGGACGGTCGTTTCCTTGAAATCTACGAATTTGTTTTTGTTTGTCGGAATGTGGTAGAGGTTTGAGGGTTTATAAGATTCTTTTTCCTTTTGGTCAATAAGTAATAACGCGTTAAAATTATGCTGTGAAAGCTATTTCCATGGCTATGACTAAGAAGAAGATGAAGATGAAATGGAAAACACCGAACCCAAGTGCAGACGGAGCGGAGACTTCAACTCTCCACGGCATGGGTCCCGTTTGCTCAATTCAAGTCAATTCCTTCAAATTCATTATTATTAAACAAAGAAAATTCAGCGCATAAAAAATCGTACAACGCTCTTTTTATTGGTGGTAGTTACCAAAATCATCTTATTATCCGAAGAAAAACTATAAACTAAAAATCTTTCAATCTATTTATTTTTAAAAAAAAAATTATAAGATGCTACAAAAATCATATACTCTTTAAATAAACTAATAAATGTGAAATAAAGATTAAAAAAAGTAGTTATTACATTAATTTAATTGTCATGTCATGTCCCTTCACGCCAACAAGTGTCAATAAAAATCATTATTAATATAATTTTTAAAATATTCTAAAAATCAAGAAAGTTATAAACTTATGGTATATGATAGTTTGTTATGATTAATTGATTATATTTTTACACAGTTAATGGTTAACTTATTTTAATATTAAAATATATTATTTTAATATTTTCAAATAATTAAATTTTAAAAAATTATATATCATGCACCAATTAAAGTGTTTTTATAATATTATCTAATCGCATATTATTACATTTATATTTATATTGTAGTTAGAATAGGATACTCTAATAAAGATGGTTAAGATAAGAGATTTTCAATAAAGATGATCAATAAAATGATTTAACAAAAATTAATTACTAAAAAATAAGTTGATATTTCACACTAATAACATGATTATATATATGTGTGTGAAATAAGTTTATTAATTTTTATAACAAATATTTTTTAAAAACTCTTAAAAATTGATGATATTAACTACTCCCGTGATCCTTTCGATTATAAAGTTCTTTAAAATAAATCACATAGATCAATATAAATAGTCAAGTTATTTGATTTTTTAAATTTATAAAACAAAAATTCATGATGTACTAACTTTATACTTCTTACTTATCATTAAATTTTCATGAAAGATGTAAAAATAATACTCCATATTTAAAACTTATGCATTAACTTCAATAAAAATTGATAAATGATAATTGAAGAGTTTAAGATATGTAGAGAAAATATTCACTTATCAAATTCTTTTCTCATTATTCAACAATAAAAAAACACATATTTTTATAAATTTTAATAGAGATAAAAGATGAAAAATAAAATTATTATTTCATAAAAAAATTATAAAAGTGTCTTCTAAAAAATATCAACATTTTTTAATAAATTATGTTTTATATAAAAAAAATATAAGAGTATATTGTATCAAATATATCTTATATGATATTAATGATACAAATGTTAAAAAGTGCTTTAAAAAATTGAAGTATATTTTTTTCTTTATATATTTAATTTAAAGTTGTACAAATAAATGCCTTAAGATATTAATTAAAAACAAAAAAAAAACAATAAATAATTCTATCATATTAAAAATAATAGTTAATTTTAAGTGATTGAAATATTAAATATCACAACAATTCAAGTACATTATTCAACTAATTAAACTCCTATAAATTTCTATCTAAATATACTTTAAACTTTTTTTTATTTTTGGGTTACTGATCAAAATATTTTTTAACGAATTATTTTTATGAGACAACAAATTTGCATTAAATGGAATTAAGAACTAGCTAATTTTTGTGTCCCTAACACAGGCCAGTTTTATTTTGGAAATAAATAGTTGTGCCAAAAAGAGTAGGAAACACATTATTAATACGTGTGAGTGGGACTGAACACGTGTGCAATGTAGTCTAATCTAAAGAGTAGAGACTGTATACAATCTTACTAATTTAAAAATAGCACTGCCTTTACATGAAAGATCCATATTTACTAATTTACTACATATAATACATTTCATCGCTTAGAAAAAGAGTGTGTCATTTTCACTGATAAAACTATGCAAGCATATTTTAAACATAAAGCAGTGTATAATTTTAACAAATAAATGAGGGGAGAAAAGAGCAATTTACACTAAAATAGTTGAAGATGTCCACTCCATCGTTAGTCATGTTTTATTGGAAATTATAAAATTAAGATGAAGACTCTCTAATTGGCAGTGACAAAAAGATACGATTTATAACAAATTATAATTAGTCATAAAGAATATATTTTTAACATTTTCTTAATTTTTATTTATTTTATCAAGTACGTCAAGAAAATACATAAAGTTATAAATTCAAATTTTACTTTCATTTTTATGAGTTTTTTATTTTATTTTTTATCTCGGAGATCAAAGAACTTTCAAAATTGGAGCAACTTCTAATTCTCCAACGTTTTTTTATCTATGCAAAAATTAAAATATCAACTTATAATATTTTATATATTAATTATTTTTAGGCTCATATACTCTTAATTAAAGTGTATTTTTCTAATTTGATAAAATATATTAATTATAATTTTTTTTTAAAATAATATATACTCTAATTAGTTATAAGAAATATGAGTATTAATTAAGAGAGAAAAATAATATATGATGTATACTCTAATTAATTAGAAGATATGTGAATATTAATTAAGAAAGAAAAATAATGTAAGAGTAGTTTTAAAAAAATATATACATTAGATAAATTTATTGTTATCAACTAAATTAATTATTTTTTTTAATATTATTAAATTAGATAATTAAATTTATATATAAGGATGGATATAGTGAGTTTTTTACTCAAATAATATTATTTTAAAAAATATTTACCCAAATAGCAACCGTGTAAATTTATTTCTCCCAACTAGCGTTTTTTACTGTTCACGTTCTAGAACGGCCCGTTCTAATTCCAGAATGGTCGTTCCAAATTTAAAAAGAACACATGATGAATGGATCAGAACGAGTTGTTCCGGATTCAAAAAATGCACATAAAAAGTGGAACCAGAACGGACCGTTATGAATCCGGAACGGGCTGTTCTGGCCTACAGATTCAGGTTTTTTTTTTCCTGATTTTCACTTATCAATTACCAAAACTCAGACACTACCATCAAGTGATTAAATATATTGAATATTAACATTATAAATATAACTAAATAAATTTATTAAAATTCAATACAACAATAAAGATAAATGGTGGCAGAAACTGATTATGTTGTTTTGTAATGTCCATATCTGTTTTAATCATACTGGACTTTGGCCACCCTTAAAAGTTCTCTTGAATTCTGGATTTTGCTACAAAGTTGGACCAGTGTAAGTAGGCCAATAATCTTCATGTCGGAGCTCTCCAAACTATCATTCGTATACTTTTGCAACTTATTGTAAGGTATATATGAGAGATATGTAAGTTTGATAGTCGTGATGTGCATATAAGCATGAAGCAAGTACATGCGAGCAAGGGATGTGAACTTTTTGGAACTTGCTGCAATCACACCACGTTACATTTAGTCTTACTATAAATCTCCCAGTGAGTCATGCGAGCAAGGGATATGAACTTTCTGAAACTTGCTGCAATCATACCGTATTTCATTTAGCCTTATTGTAAATTTCTCAGCGGGTCAAACTTCTCTCGGATATTGCATTTCTTCCAACTTTGTGACCAAATTTAGAACGCAAAAGAACTTTCAAGGGTCAGCCAAAATCCAGCAGGATTAGAACAGAGATGGACATTAGAGAACAATATAATCATGTAAAAATTGTTCCTATTGTCACACTCCTGGTTACACCTTACTGTAAATCTCACAGCGGGTCATGCGAGCAAGGGATATGAACTTTCTGAAACTTGCTGAAATCATACCACATTTCATTTAGCCTTATTGTAAATTTCTCAGTGGGTCAAACTTCTCTCGGATATTGTGTTTCTTCTAACTTTGTGGCCAAATCTAGAACGCAAAAGAACTTTCAAGAGTCGGCCAAAGTCCAGCAGGATTAGAACAGAGATGGACATTAGAGAACAACATAATCGTGTAAAAAATTGTTCCTATTGTCACACTCCTGGTCACGCCACCGTTGATCTTTATTGTTGTAATGAATTTTAATAAATTTATTTAGTTATATTTATAATGTTAATATTCAATAAATTTAATCACTTGATGGTAGTCTTTGAGTTTCGGTAATTGATAAGTGAAAATGGGAGAAAAAAACCTGAATCTGTAGGCCAGAACGACCCATTCCGGATTCAGAACGGCCTGTTCTGGTTCCACTTTTTATGTGCATTTTTTGAATCCGGAACGGGATCCATTCGTCATGTGTTATTTTTTAATCTGGAACGGCCCGTTCTGAAATTAGAACGGCCCGTTCTGGAATGTAACTAGTAAATAGTGCTAGTGATGTGAATCAATCGATTAGAAGGAAGGCGCCACAAATACGATTATTTGATAAGCCAAGAAAGATCGCCACAAGAATTGGAGAATTCTTGATAAGATCAGTTGATGCAAGGAAGAACCCTAGTAGAGCTAAAACTCACAAAAAATATAATCTGAATAGTCTGTCCCTTTTCTCAATTCCCAAAATGTTTAATACAACTTTAGTTTGAGTTTGCCTCATTTGGAAGTAAATAAAGAAAATTAAAATACTAATATCCCAACAGAAGCTAATATGCCCAAGTGGTTTGATGAAGGCATTATAAGCTTAAGGTCTTGGGTTTAAATCCTGAAATGTAGTAGTTTATTATTTTTATTTTTAATACTGCCTTTTACAAAACAAAACTAACACAGCTTTAAAACTTAAGACATAAAAAGATAATAATAATAAAATAAAAACTAAATCTTCCAGTTGGCCTCCGAGCTCCCCAAGCAAGCTATGCATGTAATAAGTCTAGCCTCCTCCATGTGTTGAGTCGATTGTTGGGTCTCTAGCAAATGGGCCACTTTGTGCTGCAATGCCTCTTGGGTTTTTTTAAGCATCCCTTTAGTCATAAGCCCACCTAAGATTTGAATTGGATCTTGATCTTTGTCCTCTTCGTCGTGGACTTGGGCCTTCTGATCATGGGCCTCTTGAGTTTGGGCTTTTATGTCCATATCATTCTCTCCTTCTTGGGCAGCATTTGTCCTCAAAGTTATGAATTCATCTCCTGCATCAAAATGAGTCAAATCAGCAACATTAAAAGAAGAACTTACACCATACTCACCTGGTAGATCAATCTTGTAAGCATTATCAGCATGAGG